AAAAAAGATTTTTGTGGGGGATTGGGAGTGGGGGGGGGGGGTTGGAGTTAGGGCTGAGGCTGAAAATTTGAAAGACTGTTGTCGATTGCTGCAAGTCTATGTGCCGAATTTCAGTCGATATGATGACGGAAATTGGGTCGAAGACTTTGACTTAAGCCCACAAATAATTTTTAAAAAAGGAGGCGGCAACTACCGGCAAGCTACTCTGTTTTACAAAAACATGGATGTACACCATAAAATAATGATAAGATTTTATGAGAAATATAAGATTAACAATGTAACTTACCAGGGGCTTGTTCTCATCAGTGACGTCATCTTCTCCGAGGAAATCGTCAAAATAAACTCTGTCTGTCCCCTCATGCTTGACTTTGGACAAGATAAAATGTGTCATCTCATTTTCTGCCACGTCTTTTAGTAAGTAGTACACAGTCTCCATCACCTGGTATTAGCGGTTTAGGGAAGATGAATTATGAATGTAGCATGCACGGTAATGATGTGTTAACGCCACGGCCATTTAATGTAATACATTTTCATAAATTTAATGTCCCGTCAGGGATGGACTGGGGAGTTCAAGCGGCCCGGGCAAAAAAAAAAAAAAAAAAAAAAAAAAGGCCCTATCTTCATGACTTGTATTTTTTTTTTATATCACTGGTCCTAGCGGCCCATCGGGAATCTTCCCGGTGTCCCGGCGGCCCAGTCCAACCCTGTGTCCCGTCCCAACCCGTTAAAATTCATTGACACATATTTGTCTCCCATAGCATCATCAAAGATTGATTCAATCTTTGATCACGGCTGAGGAACTAAAAGCTCAAATAAAGACGTCCTAAATAACACAAGGAATCAAGATGCCATTGTTATTCTCTTACCAGAACCGGAAAGGCCCCTTTACGTCGTGCTGTTTCCAAGATGGCTACAGTTCGAGCAACGAACCAGTAGAATTCCATCGGGGATGTGTAGTAGGTCAAGGCCAGATCGTATCGGTCCGAGAAGTTCGTTTTTATTTCAAATGCGATCAATGACGTGGTGTTGAGGTAGAGTTGCTGAAAATTTCAAAACAATATTTTCTTTTATGATTCAACAGTAGCGCCTATTGTTCAAACCCTTATTACCTCGTGCTAACGTCATGCAACTGATCATCTTCAAATTCGAATACAGATTTCAATTGGTTATTTTAAACACATTATATAAACTGATTCAAACCTTGCCGCAGGAAATTGTAGAATAAAAAAAAAATAATAATAATTAATTCTTTAAGAATTTTGTCATGCGATAAGTTAACATTCCTTAAAATAGTCACTAACCACTGCATATTGGCAAGATTTATTTTTTTTTTAAATGACAGGGTTAATTTTAGAGGGAATCGACATGGTTCAATTATAAAGCAGATTATTTCATACACATACAAATACAGCTTTCTGATGGGTTTTTGTTGTTGTTTTTTTAGGATTGGATGTTATCGTTGAAATAACATAGGGTTAATTTTAGGGGGAATAATCATGGGCGCCCGCAGAAAACGTTCTAGGGGGGGGGGGGGGAATGGTTTAATTTTTGGGGGGGGGGGGGAAAAAATTTTT